TGTGCTTTTTACATTTGGGCACTTTTTTTAATATTAATTATTAAATATTTAGATAAATTTATTTCATAAACGCCCTTACAATATGGCATAGTCCGTTGTAGTACAAATAATAAATAAAAACATGCATACAATTTACATTTTCAAATAAGTCATGCAGTATAACGGTCAAGATGGTACAGTACTACCTGTGACATTATCTTATTAATGGTGGCCATAAAAAATATGGTCACCATGATGGCCCTAAATGTCCATCATTATACCCCCTGCTGCTTAATTAATACACAAGGTATTAATCAAAAACTAGTCAAGGATAAAGAGAAATCATGACTGCATTGAAGTGTTAAAATTACATAACTTACAGGTAAAGTGTCTCAGGAAAAATATTTCACTTTTTGGTTTGTCAAATTTAATAACTGTGATAATGACAAGAAAATTCTAAAATAATTGAAATAATAAAACTAGTTGAACATATAGCTTCCTAACTTTTTTTTTGTAAAAATTTTCTCATGACTGTTTGCAAATGTTTGTTTTGATTCTATAACTTTTAAATAATTCTATCAATTTAAGTTATTTTTTACATGTATTTTTTGGCAAGTGAATAATAAATGAATATCATCTTCTAATATAATGCAAACTTTCAAAACGCCTGCCTTTTTCCATTGAAAAGGTGTTTCTCAAATTAATTTTCTAAAATCAAAATTGTTTTACTTACTGCATTTAACATTGTTTAACAAATGTTTAAGATTATCTTTAGGACTTATTCTAAATAAAATTTAGGCAATTCATTATTACTCTATTGAATAAATACATGTATATTCAAAATATTCATTACAGAAAAATTTGATAATTTTTTTATTGTCATATAAACATATTACAATTTGATCAAGTTTCTGACATAAAAAAACCCAAAACAAACATTATAATGCAAAGAAATAACAATTCTATAAGAAATCAAAACACATGGAAAAAAGTTATCAGATTTCTGCCCTCAGTTCTAATGACTTTCTTTTATAAAGGGGCCAATATTTTAAACATGTTCCATGTTATAGAGGTTTAGCATTTCTTTTACTTTTTGTTATTGGTTAAGATTTTATTCATGAGATTCAAGATTTTATTCATAAACTGGTCAGAGACATTATTATGAGAATGAGAAGGTAAAAAATTTTCAAATAGATTATCTCTAAATTGTTTTGTTAATTTTACAAACAATTCTATCCTTTATAGGAATTTTTATTCACCATTTTCTATTTCTAAATTATGACCACTAATTCTTTACTTAGTGAAGCATTTGAGTTTACTGTTTTCATCATAAGTTTTTATTTTTTTTTCAAAAATATTCTTATTTTTTTTCCTAAATTTCATTTTTAATCAAGGGCTTTAAAGAATCTAATTCATTCAAGTCCCTGCAATTATTAACTTTATCTAAAAGGCCTGAGTTGAGTGAAATATTCTTTGCAAATGTATACTAAGATAATATAATACACAGAACAAAAAGTGATTTAATTAATAGACTACTTTTAGTATAAAAATGTCACAATCTATATAGAAGTGTACTTTATTTTTCTGGAGACAAATTTTGCCTGTTAACTGACAAAATTAGCCAAACTGAAGATATATTTGATAAGTTTACAATTGTTTCAAAAAGCAAGACAATTTTTTCTTTAAATAATTTCTTTGTAAGTCTTTTTAGTGATTCTTCATGCAAAACTCCTTTTGAGATTTGAAAATATCAAAGACAAACAAAAATAGTTTATTCCTATACCATATAATGATATTTGTAGTTTTCCTGAATAATAATCATGATAATAGATTTTACAACTTTGTTAACAAAATTTATTGTAAAAAGATTGATATTCATGATATTGATAATTTAAATTTGTGAATAAACTGGCTTGTTAAATTACTTGCTTCATGGTTCCTTTGAACATATCATTTGCATGATTATAAGTTATAATTAATAATAATTCATTTAATAATGCAAACGAACAATAGAATACCATGTACATCATGTACAATAACTTTTTTTTTTACTGAAAGAATAATTATTAAAAGGATTCTCTCTTTTGTTTTCAAATGCTAGTCAATAACTTATCTTTGAATTTTTGTCATTTCTACTCAAGATTCTTTCCAAGAAGAAATTAAAAGAATAAGAAGCAAAAAAAAAACAAATAAAAAATAATAATAAATTAAAAAATTAAAAACATTAGAAAAAAAGGAAAATATGTAAATTTAAAGACAGAAAAATCAACAAATGATATGAATTAACAAAGACTAAAACAAACATTCTATTCTACATTTTCAAGAAAAGGTGAAATGTCAATTTGAGAAGAAACCTGAGTTACCTGTACAGGTAAATTTTAATGAAACATACTAGCTGAAAACTTCAACCCTGATTGATTTCAACAGGTGACATAATTAGATAAAACATCAACCTATGTTTTATGACCCCAATAAATGGCCAACATCTCAAGATTGAATACCCCAATAAATGGCCACCATTCAATAGTGACCATACAAGAGGGTGGACATAACTAAGAGGAAGTCACAGGTTGTACTGTACATTGTTAAGGTCTGCATCCTATTTATAACAATAGCTAAAATAAAAAAGTAACTAATAATAACTAGATAAAACTAATAAAACCGTGAACATATTTGTATATTTCTAGTCTGTGGTGCTCGATATAAATAACAGATAATGTAAAGAAATAACCTTAACTAGAAATAATTATTAACATCAAAAAGACACATTTACTAAGCTAATGAATGCATGTAGACTACCTAGTTTTGAACAAAAGACTATTTTTCATATTTCATTATTGTAATTCGATTCATTATCAACATGATCAATCTGATATTCAGTCGATCAGATTTGGCATTGACCAAGTGAGAGTAAGGAAGAGTGTATAATTTAATCGCGTGCATTTGTAAAATTATAAAACGTCATCGATACACTTATTTATTTATAATTCTATCATACAATATTTAAAGAGAAATAACAGAAAGCGCTTTACATAATAAAAAATAATCATGTCAATTAACAAACTAACATATGACACAAAAACAATAAAGAATTAAAAACCAATTGTTCAGAGAACAATTGAAGGTCTTTCCACCAGTAAGGATCTATTTTGATATGAAATCATTAAAATTTTGTTTTAAATGTCAATTTCCGCGTCAAATGACAGCTTATTGTACGCTGATTCCAAAAATAAATGATTTCTATACAAAAAGATATAAATAAGGGAGATATTTTTGTACTTCCGGTTTAAAAGATGTTACTCCCGGTATTATTTGATAGTTTACTTGACACTGATTCCAAAATTATATGGTTCTATATACTTTTACATTAATTAAGTACAAAAAAAGGCTACTTCAGGCTTACAAAAGGTCACTTCCGGTTGGCTTTTTCAAGGTCACATTGCTTGCAATCTTTTGCAAAAAGTCCCATGGCTTTATCATGTACACATATGAGGAAAACGTAAAGGTCAAAATCTAGAACGTTAAATTAACCTATGACCTTGAGCTCAATTTCAAGGTCATCAACCAAGGACCTCAAATCAAAAGACTCTAGCCTCTACTTTATATTGTTAATGAGTTATATTACCATACAACTAACATAAGATATAAAAGGGGGGAAAACTCCCATTTAATGTCTCCGTACCTTTTCAACTCAAATTTACGTGTTACGACATGTCGCAACTAACAATTCTGTAAAAAAATTTGTCGATATCTTATAAGATTTCTGAAAATTAGTGATAACAAGCCAAAATCAAAATTTTTAACATGACCTTGACCTTTGACCTTGACCTCATTTTCATTTTTATGGACCAAGTACTTCAAATCAAAAGACCCTAGGCCTCTATCACTTATGGTTTTCCAGTTACAAATACATTTCACATATATCAAATACAAAAGGGGAAATAACTCTCATATGGAGTCTTCGTAAAGCTTCGGTCTAAATAAAACCTAACATCCTGAGGATATAACGAGCAATTTGGAAAAATAAATTTGTCGCTTTCTTTTACGGTTGCAGAGGAGATCTCATAACAAGAAAAACAGTGTTTGGGGAGATAACTCTTACAAAGAAAAGTGTTCGGTTAAACAGGGTCAGTTTCAAAAGCGTATAGACTGTATGATATCATATACCAAAAAACTAAGCGACATCTTTTGAAACAAAAATACACCGCAAGAAAAAAATTAGGCGGAAGAAAAAAAAAATAATCAGAAGAAAACCAATAGGTCTTTCCACGGAAAGGTGGAAAGACCTAATTACATAAATGAATTGCCGTTTAAACTGTAACGAATAGGGACAAAAATAGCATGTTTAGATGAAACCAATGTAAAAAACTTGGTTATTTTGCGAATTCCGAGATTAAATAAAAAATCATGATAGGCAAGTCTAAAAGATAATTTTCAAATTCTTCTTAAAGGTTTCAAGCTTCTGTTCGTTGTAGGTGTAATACCACCACTGTTTTTCCCTATTAGTCTTTGTTAAATTTGTAAATTTGCACTTTTCAAAAAATTGTGCAGAATTTATCTTTGTTTGAAATAAAGAAATACCTAGCATGAGTAAAGTTTTATCCTGTCCAGTACTACAACTAAAATCACATAACATCTCATCTACATACAAACAGTTGAATATGATACAAAAGATGACTCTAGGATGATAAATACCACTAATGGACCTCTTTGTTTTCATTATAAGGTCCCTTTTGGTCCATTTATACCTCTCATTTCCTCAAAATTTCAACTTTTTAGGCCAATAAATCAAAATTTGGAGGTAATTTTCACACATTTATGCAAGAAATGTAATAATAAATGAGTAATTGAAGTATTCAAGCTGCATGAACGATCCATATAATAGTTTACTGAATTAATGGAGGTTTCAATAAGTCCTTACGTAAAGTTTTAATTTACACCGCGCTTCAGAGAGGGACATAAAAAGCTTTCATTTTAGTGAATAATTTGTTGTTACTGCTTCAAAATAATTTCATTTACTTAGGAAAAAGTTTTCTATCATAGCAAAATATAAGAAATAAGGAGAAAAAGTCAGAAAAAGCTCCCCAAAACACTGTGTATGGCTTGCTCTGTCTACTAATATGCATGGTAGAGTCCTATTTCAAAGCAATTTTCTCTTAGAATGTTTTTTTGAGACTCAATCCAATCAGAATATTTCATGTTCGCAATATTTCACTGAAAAAGCATGAAATTTTAACAAATGAGAGTACATACAAGATCAATGGTGCATGTGCAGCTTCCCATAATAGGTGTTATACCACCATTGTTTTTCCCTATTAGTCTTTGTTTAATTTGCACTTTTCAAAAAAATGTGCAGAATTTATCTTTGTTTCAAATAAAGAAATACTTGGCATGAGTAAAGTTATATCCTGTTCAGTATTACAAAAACAAATCACATAACATTTCATTGCATATAAGAAATACACCATCACTGGAAGTTAACCAATCAAATTTTCACCCTTATTTTCCTTTGTACAAGCTTAAGTAACAATGTAACCTCAAGTTTCAAAATTATTCTATAGAAACATCAAATAAAAAAAGGATGTTGCTTTGAAACACCCAAGATATATGTTTATGACTCAGAATTTTTCTACTGCAATGAAATGTAGGATTAATTTCGCACAACAGTCAAATTCAAGGAAATATTTTTTTCGACCCTTTTTCGTATGCAACCGGACAATTAGGAGAATTTTTTATCGCTAAATGCAGATTATTTTTAAATAAAAATCAAAACGATAGTGTACCGTTTCAAGTAAACTATACAGATCATACTCGGCGGAATGTATGACATTAAAAAAATCATAACTTTTAAAGTTCCTTAAAATCCTTAACTCTCGAACAGCAAGTAGGGCCAATTTTAAGCGAAAGTTAGCATACATTTTCAAATTCCCTCAACAGTGTAACAAACATTTTCAATTTCCCTGAACAGTGTAAAGATTCGAGTCATCAATGGAAATATATTTCAGAAAGTGAGCAATGTGTGAAAAATTGCCTTAAATTTGACGGTAAGTCTATAAACTTTTGAACGATAAACCTTTTCCAAATGGAAAGCATTTTGCTTCCATAGATTCAAATATACCATGAACATTTCCTAAAACCTTATCAAAGCATTACCTTGCTTTTGTACAACAAGTTAACAGACAAACGTATGGACGATTATATACTCTAGTAACTACAAGAGTTCTTGTGATTTTTACGATTACCTAAATAGAGTATAAATAAGAGATATTCATTCAGGGTTATATACAAGCAGTATTGTAAAAGCCATGCAAAACCAAAACAAAATTCAAATTTTCCAAGAGAATGGAAAACAAACCCCAATAAATTAGTTTGATGAAGTTTGAAATTGTCATAGTTCGTGTTCATTGCACTACCCATTCCATATATACATGTGCGAACGCAGTCATGGTACGCTTTTTTCTTCAATGTTGCATACCTGCTGCATCAATTGTTCTGATATTGCTTGGTAAAAAATATGATGACGATTGGTTTCTCCAAATGTGCTGCTCCATAGCATTTAGATGACGACTCAATTATAAATGTTAACACTCTTTGGATTAATAATTGTGTGTAAACTGTAACGTAATAAATATATAAGAAATAACCAATTAATGCTTGCAAATAATATGATTTTAAAGTATAAACTGACGTCTCGTCCTTTGTCTAAAAAGGTTCATCGGAAGATACCAAGCTCTTGTTGATAAATATTACGTATCATCTTCACAAATAATACACAATGGTCTTGAAGTATAGATTCTTAATTACTTGTTCTTTTTATTTGTCTTTGTATATTTTTAACCTTATCTGTTTAGTCCATTTTTGGTAATATCCTTTTGACATGGCTCGGTATTTACACATCCCGCCATTGTGTTATTGTGCTATGGTAATTTTTTGTATTCTTGTTTTTCATTTATGCTTATGTGCTATGTCTATAGAGTGTCTACATGCAATTTTGTGTTTCCTTGTTGACATAGTTGTTTGGTTTTATAGTGATTAAGATTATAACACAATGTTGACTACTGTCCCCCCATTTATGACATTTTTACCTATTAAAGATATAGGAAGTGGTATGAGTGCCAATGAGACAACTCTATGTCTGATTGTTTTGCTCACACATTGTCGTCAATATAATGGAATTTTATGCGACTGTCATACAAGTGAGAGCTTAAGCTAGCTATAAAACCAGGTTTAATCAACCATTTTCTACATAAGGAAATGCCTGTAACAAGTCAGGAATATGACAGTTGTTTTCAACTCGTTTGGTGTGTTAGAGCTTTGATTTGCTATTTGTTAAGGGACTCTCCGTGATAACTTTTTCTTGGAGTTCCATATTTTTGTTACTTTACCTTTTGCAACATATGGAAGTACAGAACACTATGGGATACCGAAAAATTAAAACAACTGGGTTGTCAGTAAATTTGTTTTATCGTGATACTGCTATTGTTAAGATTTCTTCTATGTTAAATGGTGGACATAAACACGTATTGAAACGTTGCCCTTTTAAACATAGAACAGTTGAGTCAATAATCTAGATTGATATTCAGTCATTTTTCACTCATGAAATTAGAGTAAAAAAGTCATTGTTTAGGGTTCGATAAGTATTTCTCGGTAATTACGTATAACACGGGTAGTAACGTCGTCATATCGATGAGCGTTCAGAACAGTGATTGTGTCATAGTTTGGTTAAGTTGGAGATGATTGTGTTAAGTGTTTTTAATTACATTCAATGACACAATATAAACATTAGGTTTTTTTGCGAACGGAACTTCTAAACATAAATTCAAGCTTGTAAGTATCTTTGTTTATGGCTAATATATTAGTACATTAAAATTTGTATCATATAGTTAATAATTTGACACAGAATAATGCGTGCGTATGTCAAATTTTAAAAGTTGTTATTCGTTTCTTATGCACAAAAAGGGTGATTTGTTTACTGTCTGTTACATCACATATTTCGTAATGGTATAAACCTGCCGTCAATTATTCCGAAAAAAAGGTACATTTGCACACAATTCAAAATTACTGAAAATTCGGTGTCATGGTTTGGTTCAGCAGTGTCAAAGTTTAGTTCATGTTCGACATGGTTCTGTTATGTGATTCCTGTCGTGTATGATGGAAGAGTAACGATCAAAATAAACAGACATTAAACAACTATTGAAATACTGTTAATAAAAAATTTGTTCGCCGATACTTTTTTTTCGCGTTTAACCCATTCTATCCTATTTTGAGGCAATATATTGTCTTCATTTCCTAATGTTGTTGTTTTGTTCCCATACGAGTAGATCTGAAGTTCACATATTAACGTTGATCTTCTACTTGCGAAAATACATCGCTCGAGAAAATAAGTCGTCTACAGTAAATTTACGATATTATCTTTATACATTTGTAGTTATCATTATAGAACACGCATGTATAAAGAAATTACGAGGATAATATATTAATGCATTTCAATAGCAATTTTCTTTTAAAGTAGTTTTATTTGGAATACAAAAGGATCTAAGAAAGCACATAGTAATAAATGTGAAGAAGATGCGGTATGATTTCCAATGAGACAACTATCCAACCGAGACCAAATGACGTACATGTTAGGTCGACGTGCGGCCTTCAATAATTAACAAAACCCATACCTCCTAGCAAGCGATAAAAGGCTCCGACAAAATTAAATGTAAAGCAATTCAAATGAGAAAACCAACGGCCTGATTTATGTTCAAAACAATAAGCCAAAAACACATATGACATACAGGAACAAACGACCGCCACTGCATTACAGACTCTGGACTTAGGACAGGCGCATACAGAATATGGCGGCGTTTGACATGATTGGGGCTCCCAACCCTCTATACACCTTAATCTGGACAGTGGTGTAACAGCAAAACAAAGACGAACAAACTATAAAAATCAGTTGAAAAGGACTTGGCTCATCAGATCGATACAAAGCAAAATAATCAAGTCACATAAACACCAAAGATACAAAGAACCGATATGTGAGAACTCGCATATACTGGAAGTTCCAAGCCAATAACAACTAGTAAAAATATCATGAATCCAAGACAAAACGTTACTTTTGTTTTTAAATCAGAATGGAATTCTGCTGCGAACATTCATTTTCATCCATCTTATTCTCTGCTATGAATTCTCGTCTAGTCGGGTCAAACATAAGGTCGTTCACAGTTTAAATGTACTTGTACTAAACAAAATAACACGCTTATCTTGGAATTTAAATCATTTTTTCTATCACATGTAGGCAATGAGGGTTGGTTGAAAACAAAACTTTACGACAAAAGAGATGATTTCAGCCTCCCAATTGTGAACTTTCCAATTCTATGTAGCAACATTCCAGCAGCGCCTACATACGGAGTATATATCTCCCAGTTGATACGATATTCCAGGGCTTGTTTTTCCTATTATGATTTCCTTGATAAAGGGTTAATGCTCACAAGGAAGCTATTAAACCAAGTGTTCCAAGTGGCGAAGTTGAAATTATCCCTTCGTACGTTTTACGGACGCCATTACGAGTTGGTTAACCGTTATGGAATATCCGTTTCACATATGATTATGGATATGTTCCTATGTCGTAACTACAATCCCATCCCCCTTTCCCAAATGTGACCTACCGAATTAGACTTATTACCGGGTTTACACTAACTTCAGCAACGACGGGTGCCACATGTGGAGCAGGATCTACTTACCCTTCCGGAGCACCTGAGATCACCCCCAGTTTTTGATGGGGTTCGTGTTGTTCAGTCTTTGGTTTTCTATTCTGTATTTTGTGTACTATTGTTTGTTTGTTGTTTTTTTTTTTCGTTTTTTAGCCATGGCGTCAGTTTATTTTCGACTTATGAGTTTGAATGTCCCTCTGGTATCTTTAGCCTCTCTTTTAATAATTTCTCATACTAAGTACTAGACCGGCAGAGTTTTTTCTGATATTATCGAAACTTTATTGCATTAAAGAAAAAAAATGCTTAAACGTGTTAAGTGATACTATATATATGAGAATGGAAATGGGGAATGTGTCAAAGAGCCAACAACCCGTCCAAAGCAGAAAACATGTCAGAATAGGTAACAAAAGTAACTAAGCAAAATGACAATGATACATAAATTAACAAAGGACTACTAGCAGTTACTGACATGCCAGCTCCAGACCTCAATTAAACTGATTGAAAGATTATGTCTTCATCATATGAAAATCAAGCACAATACCTCCCTTTAGGGGTTTAGTATCATACCATCATAAAATATATAAAAAGAACATAACCCGTATCATGCCAACAACTGGTTTTAGAATAAATGTGTTTATTTCCGATGCAAAGACCCTATGAGTAAATCAATATTTATACCAAAATATACCATCTTTAATGACCTGACAACAGTATCGTAACTATATCCCGTCTAAATAAGTCTGTTTAAAGGTTTGGTTAGCTTTTGAGGTGAATGACGACATTTTTGTGCTTTGTAAAGAATATTACCATAAAAGATTGGATATGAAATACCTGAACGTATAAGATGTCTGTATGTTGATTGATATTTACGAATGATGTCCTTGTACCGATGATAAAATTTAGTAAATGTTTTGACTAGTTTGTGATATCGAAAACACTGGTGTAATTATTTTTCAGTAATATAGAGATTTCTTTCGTTAAAATCAAATACGTTGTTACATACACGAGCGAATCGAACAAGTTGAGATATATAACACTGCTGTAACAACAGCCCATGAAAAGGCCGTGAAATGTCTGTGAAATATCACAGGGCCGTAAAAACCCCGTGAAAATACCCCGTGACTTTTGTAAAAAAAATATTTCTAAAGGCCGTGAAAAATATTTGATGTTAGAAAAAGACCGTGAAATTTCAATATCCCGTGAAAAGGCCGTGATAATTTGTCCTTTCATGCTTAATAAAAAATATCACGGCCTTTTCACTGGTTGTTGAAACCAGTGAAAAGGCCATGATATTTTTTCTTATCCTAATTCAGATTTAAAACATCCCATGTGATTATTGTAATATGGTCTAATTATTTCCACTCACATTTTTCTAAATATATATCCTATAAACTTTTCATTATAAATATATGTCTGTTTAAATATTATTATATGCAATACTACTGTACAGGACTGACTTTTAAATGGAACCATTTATTGTTATAATTAATGACTTTGTGCCAATAAATATTTTGTATTCAAAGAAAAGTATTTTGCTTCTCGTCTGTACATTAATATAAACAATGTAAACATTAATTTTAATTGGAACCGGAACATGTAAAAAACGAGAACTTCCCGGAATATCAGACCGTATCCGGATTCGTGTTTCTTTTAGAGTAATTGTAACATTTCCGCAAAACTTGAAAGACGCCGAAGGTCGATTAATATTTACTTTATAGATGCAAGACGAGTGACAGCAAGTTTGAGGTAAGTTAAGTTATTAATATTTTATTCTTTTATGCATCATATCACCAAAATGTTGATGACGTTTGTGAGCATTTCCATTGAACTGATTTTCACTGAATTTGCAGAAACCGCGCAAACATGCATGTGATATATTCACTTATATTTGAGTCTCTTGCACTTGATTCCTTTAATCATTTCGGTTAATGTTTTCTAAGACACACCGGATCCTTTAAATACGATTACGGTTTTGTTTTGTTTATGTATTTGGGGAAAAAAGGCGGGGTCCTTTTTTCCCACACTGGCCACATAAAAAAAATGTCATTTATGTACAGTACACTACGTAGACATAGACATAGATAATTGGAAATGATTATAATAGCAATAAGTATCTCTGAAATGGAGTTCACTCTGATAATCAGAGGCGTAACCGGACTAACCCCCTTTGAATGTGTCGGGAGCTATTTATTATATAATTTAAGTATTTTCTGACCTGGCCGTTGGGACACAGAATTTAAAAGGGATTAATCAGAGGCGTAGCAGGGAAAGTATTTAATATTTGTACGCCAAAATGTCCTTTCTAGAAGGGTTTGTGCCATATCATAAGAATAATTGGTATGGCAATGAGGTGTTTAAAAAATAATTGGTATGGCGAATGTGCCTGCGGTAAAAGTTGCTACGCCCCTGGCCCCCTGTAAAATAAATAGCTGTGACTCATTACAGCCACTTAGTCTAGACAAGTTTGGCTTTAGCCATACATATTATTACTTCAAAGAAACATTTAAATTTAATAGTCTGTCTTAAAAGTATCTTTAGTCTTTAAAAAAATCTAAAAAAATAATATAAGTTGACAATACAGAACTTCGTTAACTAATGATGCCCTATATATTGGATAGGGGGCAGATTTTCTGGAAAATGGTATGAAAATATGAGAAAACCTATGCATGTTTCCAAGTGTCTGTTCTGTTTCAATGATGTTTTTTAGTATTTTTCATACCATTTTCACCTCCAGTATGAAAATCTGCCCCCTATTCAATAAGGGGTCACTAACCGTGAAGTCCTGTATTGCATGGAATAATATTGTAGCTGTTTTAAGTACATGTATATACATAAATGCCAAAAAATAATTTGAATATATAAATAGTTTTTTTTATATACATGTATAATATATGTAATGTTTCTTTATTTATTCTAGGAATGAAGAGCAAAAGGATATAGCAGTCTTTATATAAAATAGTTCAGGAATCCAGTTGGAAAGAAAAGCTTTTCAGTTAAAAGTATTTCCTGGGAATTAACAGGAACTTCTATAAATGTTTTTCTGGAATAGTTATTCAAAAGGGCAGTGAAGTGAAGGATTACATTAGACAAATATTGCTGAAGTGGTAAAATCAGACCCAAGAGATGTACAAAATTTCTACAATACATGTTACAGCTGACTTTAGCTACCTAATCACATTGACATTTGTGTGCTTTTATGTTTTCTTTACATAATTACTACAGTTCTATTAAAATTAATATTTTTATTATTTGTCACAATTATTACTAAAAAAAATACAGCATTTTAATATGAATTTTCATAGTCTCACTTGCATTGTACTTAAATAAGTTGTCTGTAGATGTTTACACTAGGTTTTCAGGCATTTCACTTCACTTGATTGAAACAGCATTTAAATTTTTTGTTAAATTATGGCCTGAAAAATACATTTAACATTTTACTGGAGTTTTCACAATCAGTGAATGGCTGTTTATCACAGTAGTACATGTACATTTCACGGTCTTTTCAAAATGGGTACATAATTTATCACGACTGTTTCACGGTGTAGATTTTTGTTTTTCACAGGGTTTCTACGGTCTCTTTACCCTAGTTTTCAGTTGGCACCTTTTCACGGCCTTTTCACGACAAATAAAGGCATATACTGTACTATATCTACATTTCACGGTCTTTTCACAATGGGCACATAATGCATTATCACGACTTTTTCACGGTGTACATTTTTTTTTCTCACAGGGTTTCTACGGTCTTTTCACCCAAGTTTTCAGGTGGCACCTCTTCACGGACTTTTCACAAACTTTTCACAGCCTTTTCACGACAGTCATTCCACGGCATTGTCACGGATAAGTTTCACGGCCCACCATAAATTAACCGTGACAAACACTGTAAAAATCACCAGCATTTTTACGGACATTTTCACGGCCAATCTACGGGGCATTGTTCCAGTAGTGTAAACACCATAAGACGGTGACAAGGGAACGTCACCATCTAAAAATGGATAATTAACAATAGGAAATGAAAAATTATCTCTTTTATCATAAATTTTGGTATGAAGGCAATACATTTATACAATTTGAATTTAAATTTGGAACTTTGAAAGTAATTTTCATAGTAATTTCACTTATAGTTTATTAAAAAAAAAGTTTTAACTGTTGTTCATGTTGACATTTTGTTCCGTGAAGGGTTAAAAACTGTATGGTTCCTTTTCGATGTCGTTTGCTTTGTTTTGTAGCGGGGTTATTGTATCATGGACGTATAACCCCTACACCTCCTTTTATTCAAATAAAAACAACAGATGTGTAGTTTGCAAGAAAAAATGTAAAACAAAGATTATTTTTTACTAGCTGCTACGTTTTGCAACTCTAAGTAGACGTCTTTAATAATTTGACTAGTGACGCCGCTCAAATTATCCCCGGCAGAGTCTATCATGGACATATGGAGAAAAGAGTCTATGTGCAACAGAAGCAACGCTTTCTGGTTTTGTATTTAATTTTATCGAATGCCAGTTAAAAAGTGCAGTGGCTATTTAAATTCTATCTTAGGAACACACCAAAAGTAAAAATGTATAATGTACGGTTTGCCGATTACGTCCAACAAATTTGGTCAAAAAGGCTTTTTTTCTTCTAAGTCGATTGTGAAATTGTGTAACTTCGTTTTTTTTCACAAGCGCCTTCAAAAAAATATCAATATTAACGCTCTGAAATGTTGTTTTTATTTGTTAATGATTTAATAATATTAAAACTGAGGAATGCCGGAATTTTTTTGTTACATGTTAAATAGCATATGGCATGTAGAAAACTATTTGTTATTGTCACTAGAAAAACAATACACAAATACTGAAGATTGTCTTCAATAGAAAAAAAAACAGTATGTTACTTGAAACTTACTTTTTCCTTGTCTGGTGTTTTTCTTTCCGGTGTTCTTCCCAATGCGTTGACAAACTCTCTTCGCTAAATGTAAATACAGTTCATAGTAATACTCCTACCAAGTTTGACATATGATAACTTGATTTTTTCGATTGACTGGATGGGGCCTCATCGGTTTCGCTAATAATTGATCACTCAATCTATGAACAGGCGTTTTTGTTATCTCCTGAACAAAGTGTCCAGTAATATTCATTCTTCCGGTTAAAATATGTAAACACTATATGCGTTTTCGCAAAGTAAATAGTGTTATACAGCTAAAAGAAGTTTTAAAACATGTTAAAATCAATGTTGCATTTAGGAAATATAAAATAGAGTATCTATAAATATGATTACGGCAGTTGCAAAATATGCATGTGCAAGTCGGTATTCTTTAATAATTATTTTTTTTTTGGTTTTCTTCTTGAATGCATTTTGGGGGAGAACGCGGTGCACTTCATTTCATAGCATATACCTTTCCATTTACTAACCGTTGCATACATTTTAAACTATTTAATTTGTCCCATATCGTTTACTCTATTCGTTTGTATTGTTGTTTGAAGACATTGACATGTGATAAGAAATCAGTATTAATGATAACAAGGCAGTCATCCGTAGGTCTTCAAATAGACTGTCCTTATGCAAATTCAAAAAGGTAAAAATCTGATAATATGTTTTATAAAATTTCTGTAGTTTTAGTCAAACCAATAACTGATTACATGTATTTATGTAACTATCAACGGCTTTATTAATCTATTTGCGCGCATTGGGGATTAATGATCTTTACGTTTGCGCACATTAATTTTACAAGTACCAGAGATAATTCATGATAATTATGTCGATAGTTTATTTATGGTAGTGTTACAAATCCATTGTTAATGTTAATTTTGAAAAAAAAAATATCATTTTTTGATTATATCTTTTTCATATTGAATCCTTGAAAAAATATTCAGTGATTATGAGGAATCGCTAAAGGTATGCCGGTTATTTAAATGCGTATATTGCTGAGTGGATTTTATCCTGTTTCTAAACTAAGTGGACTTGATATACAAGCAGGAACTGTTGAAAGTAGAAGTGAGAAAAAGAAAACAGAGTATGTGATTGAACATTTCCGACAGAACGGAGAAGTTGGCAGAATACAATTTTTTAAAGCGGTGGGCATCAAATCTGTAGCAAGTCTAATGCAGCTCCTGATGCTGTACATCCAGTTGCTTGCAATATTTCATACAAATCCTATAGATTACCAATGTACGTACCTGTTACCTTATATTTTACTTACATTGTAATTTGTACTTTATCGGGAAAGTGTACATGTCATTTTGTTTTACTATACCGTATGCGCTATCAAACTCTTTTGTATTGCCGTTTTTATCAGATAAATTTGTATTTTTATTTGGATTTCTTACGTCACATACATTGTATATCTGTGATGTATGTTTACACATTTTTAGCCGATGGATCCCGATTATTGTTATGTTAACCAATTATGTCTGTCAACTAAAAACAACTGTCATACAACTTTGAGGTTTAGCCCATTATTTCTCGGCAAATGTCTGTACCAATTCAGGAATATGACAGTCGTTTGCATTCTTTCCGTTGATTAATATATTCGAGCGTTTTATTTTGTCAGATTTTATGACTTCCCCGCTATTTTCAATTTACCCTAGAATTCAGTATTTTTGTTAATGCTTTTCACCTAAAACATCATAATTCAATAAATAGAGTGTTGTCGAAATATTGCTACCTGAATCCGAGATTACCTGTTATTATAGTTCAGAGTACTCGGCGGTGTGTCTCTTAAGGAGGAGTCTTCACTATCAGCTTCGGTTATTTTTCCATCCACTTTTATTCCATATCTTAAATAACACAAATGGGACATTAATTGTAGTAAAACGAACAGTTTTATAGCTTTTTAATCACTTTCATAATTGTTCAATAAATGTGTAAATTACATCTACATTACATATGGTTAACCATAAATGAACGATTAAAGCTTTAAACACATTATCTTTACACCATGAAAGAAGCCTAGGATCACTATGATATATACAATAGGCGACAAAGTAAATCAAATTGATTATTGTGAAAAATTAATATGATCAGTAGTCACTACTTCGATACTAACATGATTTATAGCATACATTTCGTAAATAATCCTTTGATAGATTAGGAATTATTATTAGGAACAAAGGTTCCAACTCCCTCAATCCAACTTTACATTGAGGTGGATTTGGCTATTCTTTTTAGAATGAATATTCGGTCATATAAATACTTTAAAAATACAAATAATTGTAGAAAAGTTTATAAACTTTTCGGTTTGAGCGTTCTTGGTGATAAATAATCCAAAAAAGCTTTTCGAAAAAACTTATCAACGATACCAGTCTTATACGTCAGACGCACGTATATACAAAACGCACCAAATTTATTAAGTGTAATTAACATTCTCCAATATATAAAGGTAAAGATAATGATAAATCATGAAGTAATCCTTTCAATTATTAGAAATGTGAAGTCGTAAACTGGTCATATTACTAAAGTATAAACATAAACATAGAAACTTGAATTGTAACCAATTTCTGTCTTTGATTATCTAAATTGTGATTATATTCATGTTTAACTTTGCCTTTTTCATAAGGTAAACATATATCCGATAATTATAGTCTTTACCTTTCCATAATTTCTTTTTTTGGACGAAAATTTCTGCGTTCTTCAACTCTTTGTTGGATCGCTTGTACGTCTGCTAATTCCTTCTTTAAAGTTTCAACATCATCGATTGTATTACTTTTATTAACTTTCATAAATGATCTAAAATTAAAATTGACTACCAAATTATTCATTCATTATTCCATAATAATATTAATAATTCAATTTTCATTAGGACCACACTCTGTAATTTTACATGTTTCATAAGTTTCACGCGCTTCTGATACATTTACCACTGGTAATCTGATTTGAAAAAACAACAACAAATTAACAAATCACACTGCGGGAATATCATCTGTTAACATAAACATTTTAAGGAAAGACTGTTGATGTTTGATATAAATTTGAAGATTTGTAAATGAATTGGTTTTGATAGATTTAGACGTTTCAGTAAAGTCTTTAAAGAAATCAAAACGAAACAAGTTCAACCTTTCTAAAAAGGTATGGTATGCGTCACAGTTTCAAATTTGCCTCAGTGTTTGTTTGTGTGTGTGTGTGTTTTTAGAATGTTGTTTCAAAACTACCCCCAATTTTTATGTTAATGCATTCAAAAATCTATGAAGCTAGTAGCATCGCATCGTGATGCCAAGCAAAAATTGAATATAATAAATTTCTGAACGATTAGTGTCATATAAACATAAAACGAATGTTCAAATCAAATTGATGAATAGTATTATACACTCTTCTTTTTGTAGGATTATCAGATAGTCACATATATTAAAAATAATTCCTTCTTACAGAATTCCACAGACAATATGGTAGCAAGAACTCAATCATACAACACATTTAGTATTGTGCAGCTTCAGTCGGTTGAAAATCAACTATAAGTAATATATAAGATTCAATTATCTTAGTGTCAGAAAAGAAAGACGAAAGATACCAAAGGGACATTCAAACTCATAAGTCGAAAATAATCTAACAACGCCATAGCTAATAAAGAATGACCAACAGACAAAAAACAGTAGATAGAACACAACATAAAACACTGAAGACTGAGCAACACAAACCCCACCAAAAATTTGGGGGAATCTCAGGTGTTCCGGCAGGGTGAGCAGATCCTGCTTCACATGTGGCACCCATTGCGATGCTCATGTAAGTACAAACCCAATGATAAATCCAATTCGGAAGGTCGCAATCTGGGAAAAAGGGGACGGAATTGTAGTTACGGCAATAGGAACATATCCGTCGTCATCTGTGATATTCCATAACGGTCAACCAACTCGGGATGGTGTCCGTAAAATTTTACGAAAGGATGATTTCAACTTCCCCATTTGGAACTCTTGTTTTAATAGCTTTTTAGTGAGCAGCAATCCTTTATCAAGGAAAACATGATAGGAATTACAAGCCCTGGAATATCGTATCAACTGGGAGATATATATACCCCTTATGGCTACGCTGCTGGAATGTTGCGACAAAAAAATAGAAAGTTAACAATTGAGAAGTTGAAATCATCCCTTTTGTTGTAATGTTTTGTTTTCAACCGACCCTCATTGTCAATTTCTAGATGTAAGTCAATTCAAGTTATGAGGCAGACTGAATATATGTTGTATCCTTTATCTCAAGTTCGATGGGATAGATGCGTTCAGCATAGTCACCAAATTTTGAATTATTTAGTGAGAGAACATCATCTATATCGCTAGCGGAAAATGAAGTTAAAGGATACTGCTAACTTCTCTTCTCTCTCCCGAAGAGGTTCCTGTACGAAGTCAGCCTCGTTTGCATAAAGAAACAAGTCGACAAGAATAGGGACACAGTTGGTTTTCATGGGAATGCCGATTGTTTGTGGAAAAACACTTCCTTCAAATGTAGCAAATATGTTGTCAAACAATTAATGTGCTCATGATATAAGTACACTCATAACTTTAATTTTGTCACATTTGTTTTTAAATTCAAGGCCAAATTTTGTTTAATAAGCTCTTAAGCGTTTGATGAAGGTTGTTGATTTTCAAATATGTTAACCTCGAGCATCAAGAATGCACTAATTGTCGAATGAGCATATGGTGCAGTACAATTGTTACCGTTAATGTTGTTAGTACCACCTTTAAAACTTTTTTTCCTTATATTTTATTATCATTTATTTGAATTACTAATAACACAAAAATATTGAGACACAATTATAATTTCAGATTCAGCCATATACTCTATAGTATTAGTACTGGGGCAATATTGTAAAAGCGTAATTTATACAAACATTTTTGACATCCGCTTTATTTCACCCATTGTATGTTGTTGTTCTTTCAAAAGCCTATGAACTTTCCTTATTTCTTGATCTTTTTGCTGTATTGTACCTTTCATTCTACAACGACAAGTTTTATATAGTTATACATATCTGAAATCATATTACTCATATCTGAAATCATAAAGGAACTAAAAAAGAGACGCTGCAGACGAGTAAGAAAGCATTTTCACATTAAAATATAATGTTCGGTAAATAGCCTAACAATATTCACACTTTATTTTATAGATCATAAATTTGTATATCGTGTTCAAATGCCTAGCATAGCTATATCTGGTACACGTTGCAAGAGCTCACATAATTTCATAAAGGTTGTTGACATATAGACCAGTAATACGTCATTTTCCAATTCTTGAGTAGTGCATACACTCTACAATGTCGTTATGTAGCTCGATGGACTTGATATATCAGAATAAGTACTGGTTGTTGCAAATCAGGTAAACTATAAGCTTTTTTTTAAGGAGATCAACTGACATTACCATTCAAATATTAACGGTTACAATAAATAAAAAAAGGTTTATAGTCAGTAAACATATCAACTTTGCTCAACTGACATTCATACTGGCTTGTGATGTTCTTTTTGTTGCATTTTGCTATGAATAGCATGAACAGTGATTCATTTAAAGCGGAACTTTCTTGATAGTACCTACTTTGTACTCTCAGATCTGTACTTAGTGTCTTTTTGTTGTGGGAATGTACCCTGTCACGTCCTCTATTGTTTTTGTTACTTGTTATTGCTTTGTATCGATCTGATGAGGCAAGCTCTTTTCAACAGATTTTTATAGTTTGTTCCGTTTTTTAATGTCACACCACTGTCCCAGGTTAGGGGGAGGGTTGGACACCCGCTAACATGTTTAATCCCGTCTCATTCTGTATGTGTCTGTTTCAAGCCAGGAGCCTGCAATTCAGTTGTTGTCGTTTGTTGCTGCATATCATATTTTTTTTCATTTATTATTTTGTACATAAATCAGGCCGATCAGTTTTCTCGTTTAAATTGTTTTACATTTGTCATTTCTGGCCTTTTATAACTGACAATGCGGTATGGGTTTTACACATTGTTGAAAAAAAAGGCCGTACGGTGACGTATAGTTGTTAATTTCTGTGTCATTTGGTCTCTTGTGGAGAGTTGTCTAATTGGCAGTCATACCAAATCTTCTTATTTTTATATGTTGATGAACCAAATAATATCACTTCGTGTGTGGCTCTTGCTGTTTGTAATGGCCATATATTTGTATTTTGTATCTGAACTGAGCTGATATCTACATATAAGATATAATTGTTATACTTACAAAAAAAAATTAAATGACGAAATAGACACACATTGGCCTTTTATATAACATATAGTGGTTTATGTTTAAAGAAACTAGGGTATGTTTTAATGTAAGCAATGAAGAATAAGGACTACATAGTTATTAATACTATAAATATTCGATAATCAATTCCAATTAACATTTTAGACTAGAAAGTTTAACACTTTGGCATACAAAGTCATGGTTGTGCAAACCACTTATATCGTTTCTATGTTATTAGAATTTTCCTTGTTTAATTATCATTAGTCGATAACCACGCAGATTAAGTTCGTTTATCAGAAGTTTACCCAAAAAAAACAACACATAAAAGCCGTTTGTTTTTAAGTTTTTGCCTCGACCATACCTGCTGAATGTTTTTTTAACGAAATTTGTTTTGAGGACATGATATTATACAAAACTCTCCAACCGCCAACCCCCCTCCCCCCTCCATGATATTATACAAAACTCTCCAACCGCCAACCCCCTCCTCCCCCCTCCCAAAAAAAAAACAACCAAACAAACAAACTGATATCTGGATCTCGATAGCTACTGATACGTAGGAAACATGTCGGACAATAAACATTTTAAGCAGACATTTTCATTTTAACCATACAAGAAACAACATGTTTTTGGTTTTCTAACTAAATGCTAATAAATGCATAAATGTCTATCCGAAAATAAAGTAAGTCAGCAAAATACCCCGCTCAAGTTTGAGAATATGGATTAATATTTCAAAGTTTAGTCAAACGATCAAAGTAAAAACAAAAAGCTAACCGGACTATATATGAACAATATTTTTAGGGTTTCATTTTTCTTTTGTGTATTACTTTATATCTATATTTAGTTCTTGATAAATTTTGAATATTTATTCGTGAACTGATCATGAGATTTCTATTTAAAGTAACAAACATTAAGTTAACATGTGAAATATTTACTGTTTTTCCTTTTCGTCAAATACCCTTCTGTTTTCTTCAAAGGATTGCTGCAGCAGTTGTATTTTGGTTATCAATTGACATTCAAGTTTTTCTGCTTCTTCTAAGCTGCAACGAATGGATACGAGTCTAGAATTTAAACGTCTAAACTATGATTAGTTGAAGGTGATATATAAGCGTGATACTTTAAACAAAGATTTTCGACAAAGGGGATGATATTTGTTTCCCTATTGTTAATTTTCTTTTTTAAAGTGTGATGTTTCTTTGGCACCGTCTGACGGTTTTTATTTCCCAACTTGTTCGCTATATTCGTGTCTGTAGTGACGTTTTGTATTTCAATGAGCGTAATCTATTTATTACTAGTAAATAATTAAGACAGGGATTTCGTTACCACAAATCACTCAAAACCCTTACTACATTTTTTCGTAGATGCAAATAATTTGTTTGGAAGTTTGGCTGTACTTGGGAGTCCGAAAATTTAGATACGATCCATGTAAGACTGGTATCCAGCCGTTTTTGACAAGTTTGATACTTGTATATTCCACAGGCATAGTGAATATTTTACGGAGGGAACCAACCTAGATCCGGGTACACTTAAAATATGCTTATTCTAAATAAATTACAAACTCAACACTTTAATTAGATCTTTGAAAATTTTTTTATTGGTATAAATATTAATTTTGTTATCAGTAAATTTAAAACATACTTAATATTATTGTTATACACATATGCACATTCACGGTTCTACAATCTGTCGATACAATGCACAAGATCATGTTTTTCTCTGACTGTTAATGACGTCTTTAAACTAAATCCATGTTTTACAGATGTGTACTGATTGATATTTAAGTCTTAGATACATGATTTTTTGAATTGGTTGTTGTTTGTTTTGAATTAGCTGTCAGTAACTGCGAGTACTCTCAAATCTTACTTTGAGCCTTTTTTGTAGTAAGGGATGAATAAATACCCTGCCACGTCCGGTCTGTGTTTTTGTTAGATGATGAGTTAAACCCTTCTCAACTGATTTTCATAGTTTGATCTTATGTTGTATTTTTACACCATTGTCCAATGTTAGGAGAGGATTGGCGCCTTAAAACTTGCTTAACCCCGCCACATTCTATATGTGCCTGTCTCAAGTCCAGAACCTGTAACCTGTTTGCCGTTTATTGCTGTTTCTCATGTTTCTGTTTCGTTAATTGTTTTGCATATGTTCTTATGTTGTGCCGTTACATCAATGTTCTATGATAGGGGAGGGTTGGCCCGTTCAAACATGTTTTACCCCACCATATTCTTTGTGTGTCTGTCCCAAGCCAGGAGCCAGTAGTTCAGTGGTTTTTGTTTGTTTATATTTGTCATATTTGGTTTTCGTATTTTTTTTTTTTTTTTGCGGTTATAAAATTAGGCCGTTAGTGTTCTCGATTGAATTGTTTAATATTTTTCATGTCGGGATCTTTTATAGCCGACTATACGATATGGGTTTTTCTCATTGTTAAATGCCGTACGGTTGTCTATAATTACTGTAAGTACTGCTGTACATCCACTTCATTTGAACGTTGGTGAATAGTTGTCTCATTGGCAGTTATACCATATATCCTTCGTTTTATTAAGTTAACCAATTACAATTAAAAACAAGTATTTATGTCTTTAGCTTAAAAAAATATTAAACGTAATTAAAAGATTTTAAAAACTTAAAGGTTACACAAATCATGAACAGATGAATTAGCTCATTCCAATAGCTCTTAATTTTTTAAGGAAAAAAACTGACCAAATGGATCTCTAATGACAGGGCTCAATTACGGAATGGGCAAAATAATTGTTGATTCTATCGGTATGCTTGAAATAATTTCATCTCAACTCGAAATAGATATTAGTTAATTGTACTTCAGTTAGTGTTCACGTGGTCATAAGTTATATATTGGTATGATATGTGAAATATTTCATCGTAAAAGACAGTTGATAAGGGGATATAACGTTTTGTCTTTCATTCGTGAGTTCATATTTTCATTTGTCTATCCGGTTAAGTTTTGTGTTTACGTAGAGTTCGTATGCGCTAATATTACGAAGAAACGTTCGTCTGCTAATTGATGCATAATGCTTGGTGTCGTATGTCTTATACTTACATGCATACGGTGACCTTTACATTTCCTTTTTGGAATAGGACCACGAATTCTATTGATTATTAAGGAATCACTGATGAATCATATTTGTTCATGCATCATTTAAGCGAAACACATGCCGATTTTAAAACTTTAAAAGGTCTCGACATTACAAAAAGTAAAACAATTGAACAAAGAATATCAACGATCTGATTTATACTAAGAATAAATAAAGAACAAAACAAAAATATGACAGCCAGTAACCGACAACAACCACTGAATTATATGCTTACAGTGACGTACATACCGTATAATATGCGATTATAGTCCCTGGCATGATGAATATGAACAACTTATAAGAAAAAACTAATTGCACGATTTATGTTAAATACAATGGAAGAGAGACAAAATATGGTTCATATAAACAACCGAATAACAAACCCCTGGCGTTAGCTATCGACAGGCACACAAAAGAATGTTGCAGGGTTAACATGTAAATAGCACTCAACCCTCCCCTAATCTGTGACAGTGGTGTATCAGAACAACCAAAAACAAAAGTTTCATAAGGTCCATTAGTAGAATATAGGCTGCCATACCGTGTTTTTGTTTTGTCGAATTCTTTCCGTTCGTTTTCCAAAGATATATACAGCAACTCTATTTCCTTAGTCATTTCATTTTCTTTCGCTTTTGCCGCATTCAATCTGAAAAAGAGGCATTTAAAAAAATCTAAAAACTATGACTACTGTTACAGAGTGGTGAAAGTCACCCGCCATATCCAGTTATTATATTTTAAAGACGTGATTCCAGAGAAATGAACCAATATGTAGTGATTTTTAAATTTAACTGCTATATTATTAAAATATTAATAATCTAAAAATGTAAAATTTGCATATTATTTTCATTTTCAAGGGGGAAAACTATACCACAAATGTTTGATTTTTGAACTCATCTATGAAGCATTACAGCGGCTTTTTTAAACGAAATTATGGAATTATCCAAATACTATAAAGTTATCAACACCAGATTCATGAAAAAGGAAACAAAAGGTTAGGAAACACAGTCGCTGCCTTGTACGTGACATGTCCAATAAATTCTTTCATTACAGTTGTACATATTTTTTCAGTTTTCCAGCTCAATTTTCTTATTTTATCTTCATCAAGATTTTTTTTTGTTATTTTGTGACTTGTGCTGCGGCCTCATTGACTCACAACCCGCGGTCATTTTTATTCATATAGCTCCCCAACATTGTTTTTAAAATCGTTTTAGTTCGAGCGATCCAAAATAACCCTTCAAACGCACCATTTAATATAGTTTTATTTTATTTCCTTATGTTAGCTATCTCATTTATGATTTCAGATACGGTTGATTCGTAATTGAAAGCAGTCTCCTGATTTAACGAAACATAAAAACTGATATATTATAGCCTTTACATTTATTTCTTGGCGGCAATAATTATATTTTAGATTTTTTTGCTAAAAGTGATTGACAAATTTCGGATTGTCATGCTTTCTCAGCAATTGTTGATTTATCAAAGTATTTGAGTACGGACATACACTTGTGACAAGAACTTATAGAATAAAAATGAGTAATGTATGAAGCCAATGAAAATGTATTAATACATATCACAGAATTAAGCTTTGTATTCTTACATTCTTCTTTCAATTTGACATGCATTTAAATCAGTAACAAGTTCAACCGTAAGTTAAATGTTAAGCGAAAATTTTGTGAAAACAGGTGAATTCCGTTTACGTTTCCTTTATTGCGTTCCCATGAGATAGTTTTATTCTTTTAAACAGATTTTTTTTTCATAGGTCTATAATGAAATGAATATAATGAGTTGCCTCCCGTTTACCATGAATTTGAATATTTCAGAACGCAGGAATAATTTTGAGTAAATTTTAGTAGCCTTCCATTAAAACAAGATGATGTGATTGCCAACATTTTTGTAAGCTATAAGATCAGAAAACAATAAAACAAGAGAAAATCAAGTTAATTTCATCCAGATTACGGAAATACAATACTCTTTATGCCAATACATTGACTGAAATAAATATCAAAATAAGATGACAAGGATACTTACTGTTTTTCTTGTTGCACTTCATTCTCTGTTTGCTTTAATAAGAGAGACTTTAAAAATTCCTTACTTGCATAAACATCAGCATTGTCGTAACGCACTGTCAAGCTGTAAACGTCACAGCACATGTTCAGTTAGGCATTATTTAACAATTAACTTTTGCCAATTAATTTATTTAATACATTCAATTCAATTTTAGAACAAAATTTTTTTTTTCATTAATTTTTTTTTTTTTTTTCAGAATAGTGTTAAACGTTATATACACACGTCCGATTATAATTAAATTTAAACATGTTAAAAGTAGTTATGGTTTTCGTAGTATAAAATATGTGATATTTTAGCTGTTACATCATAAAAGTTAATTGAACCACAATACGCAACACATTATATTCCTATGTGGAAATTGGTAGACAGTTGCTATAGAACGATAACATAATATACCAATACCTGTGAAGATTTTCATTATCTAATAAATACGAAGATTCGCGGAACGATTTGTAATGTCGTTCTCTATCCAAAATATGTAGATTTTTTATTGATTCCCAAGACTTTTTAATATATTTGATTTGTTCGTTCAGTTCGTTATTTTTTTTTTCAGAACGTTCTTTTTCCCTTTGCAGTTCAATCACAGTTCCTTTGTATTCCGTTATCTCTTTTACATATCTGCAATAAATATATGAAATCAACATTATACAATACAGATGTCATTACATTTAGTATGATTTAAAACTTTAGATCTCAAAAAAATATTTCCTAAATATTTTATAAAGTCAATGTTTTCAATTTGCTTGCATGATCGATTCATTCGGGTTCATACGACAAACGTTTTCAATAAACTAGTTTGTAGAATTTAAGGTGTGGGGTTGTGCTTATATTTTAATACAAAATTTCTCGATGCTTTGATGCTTAATTCTCTATTCACGACAAATATGTTGCTTTTCGATTTGCCAAAGCCTTAAAAAAATATTGATTTTATGTGCAAAAACAACTATGTGGAATGTCTCACTCAAAAACTTGAAAAAAATGGGAATCCTATCTATACTTCTTCTTTATTCACGGAAGACAAAGTTTTAGGAAATCGCGAATCCGTTTTTCTCTCCTTTGAAGTTAACTTAAAAAACGATAAATATGTTCCAGCTTTATACTGAATACCATAACTTCACAAATATCCCTTTAAAAATAAAATATATAGCTAGGTCGTCTATATGTTCGACTAAACATCGTTCTAATGCTCTTACCAGACTTCATTCTGCGGAATAAGGTGGCCTTTAGAAAAACTGTGATGAGGTATATTCAGTCAGCAGGGTAAGTAAAATGTGGAGTCTTAAAAATTCTAATCCAAAATTGAAATCACAATTTTTATAATTTTGCAGTGATACATGTATTTAAATCTTTGATTTTTCTTCGCTTTACACTCTTTCACCATGCTCAATTGAGAGATAATCGTGTTATTCAGGGCGCTTTCTACAAAAACGGGAAATGCAGATATAAATTCCTTGCTTTACACGAAAAATGTTACTTTGTGTAAACGACACTTTGTCTGGTACCAACAACAAACACACCGAAGATGATATCATCAAAATACTGGACTGTTTGATCGACAACATATTTGTGAAGTTTGGTCGAATGATATTTCAGCAACATTTAGTATTCCAATGGGTACTTAGTAAAAATGCACCTCCGGGTGCGGATTTTCTCCTGTGTTGAAGACCCATTGGTGGCCTTCGGCTGTTTTCTGCTCTCTGGTCGGGTTGTTGTTTCTTTGACACATTCCCAATTTCCATTCTCAATTTTTATATGATTTTGAACTACTACTAGTCATTTTATTTTTGTACTTAAATGAAGCAGATTTATTATAGAAACTTTTCAAAGACAAGAAGGATAGACATATGCATCTTGCAAAGTTCTTTAATATCAATTTCAGATATATTGATGGTGTTAGGTAACTCAATAACCCACATTTCAATGAGTAAATATGTACATCTCGTATATCCTGGTGGATTCTATATTAAGGATAGTACCGAAAGTAGAAGGTGTGTTTAATATCTTCATCTTTTCCTCGATACTGACATACGTAGATGGACGACTTCAAACTTATTTATGAATAACGTGATGATTTCAACTTTCCAATAATCGACTTCCCATTTGTCAGCAGAAAAATATTCTTGCTCAATCGTATAGCGTTTAAATTAATTATTACGTTAAGACCGTGGATGTTCTAACAATGCTGACCTCACTAACAGGAAATGGCTCCTTACACAAAAAAACGGCTCCAACAGAGTTAGGAAGAAGATCCACTGAAATTGACACAACACAAGTTTTACAGTCACCATAACCAATTTTGGTTGACCGATACGATGTGTAGGTGTCTCAACTGACTAACGACATGTTTTCACAGTCTTATACCTTTAGGTACAAGTTTAGTCGTCTGATCTGTGATTTTACCGATATTATCCTATAACCAAGTGTGCCATTTTGACCAAGTATAGAATTCGCATGGCTAGGGTTGAATGCATATCAAATTTACGAGATTAGAACATCGGTAAACTACTGTCGCCTTAATTAATGTCGTATCACCAAGATCACGAGTTATGAATAATGAGTGGGTCTTAATAAGAGTTTAACAACGAGCGTCCCTTTTGAAGCAAGCGCTGTTTGTGGATAGAAAGCACGTTGTTTTAGATCCAGCAATGACTGGGTTCATGTTACGTTATGTTTAATTTTTAAGTAGATTTTATGCCATGGTGTTTTGCGGCTTCTTTTTTACCTTTGAGACAGAAAATGTGATACAGATAAACTGCATAAACATTAGACACATTTTTCTAACCATAAAGCTTTTATGAAACGAACAACTATATTTACTTTAAGATCCTTCAAGACCCAAAGAATCTTCCGAACAATTACCTCTCCATCTGTCTATCGCTATGCTTTTCCAATGCTATAACCCGAGTTATCAATTGTTCAGTGGTAAAATCCCTTTACTCCATTTTCTACTTGAAAAATTTGATACTTTGTAACATATATTATTCATTTAATAGTTTTGTGTAGGATTGTCATGAACAAAAATTATAAATCTCTAAATAACAATTTTAGCGTAATAATATGTTAACACTCTTGTACATGAGAAATGTATGGTTAATATGAAACGAACACATTTTCCGATTTCAGATTCAATGTTTGGAAAAGACATTTCTTGTTTTATTTTTATCTATTTAAGAAATTGCTTACATATTGATATTAGAAACTCAATATTAGTCTGATAATATATGATACAGAATATACCATATACATAAAAGTTGCAATTGAAATCATAATTAATGTGTTGTCATCATAACTGAAAGAAAAAACGAAGAACATAAAACTGCCCACATTCCTGCAAAGAACAAAAAACCAGGAATACATATTTTTATCGACACGGGTTCGTGAAATGTATTTATCAGGTACATTTTAGGCTTCCACGTAGAGAGTTTGTGTGAACAAAAAACGACAAACGGGCACCAACAAAACAGCTACATTGTAAAAACAAAATTAACGGTATAAATATTACACCAGATGCGCACTTCGACAATTAATGTCTCTTCAGTGCCAACATGTTTGAACACGCAAAATCTAATGCAACGTTTACGAGCTGTTAAAACCAAAGATGAAAAAGGACCAAAAGTAATGCCAATTCTGGACAAGAAATCGAAATCGTAAAATATCAGTTTTATTTGAACAACGAGTACGGAGAACGTTAATGTTTGAGACTCTTTAATAAACCTTAAATATTGAAACGATCGAGCGTAACGTGCAATTAATAATGATAAGTAAAGCAATAAATTTAACTGAGACTGCAACACACCAAAACTCAAACGCAAGACATCTTGGGGTCTACGTTGTCGAATAGCCTCAGTAGTTCATCTACAGTTATCACTAGCCTATCAAGTCTGAGGCTGTGAGTTCGAAATATAATCTTACTTGACAAGTATTTGCAGATTTCCTGCAAAGGTTGGTGATTTTATCAGGTACTTCAGTATCGCCTACCAATAAAAACTGGCTGCCATTCTATTTTTAAGGTAGCTGAAATCATAAAGCGCAAACATACAAACAACCAAACAAAATACATATCCAAATAAACATACTGTCTTTAACAACAGACTAGCATGCATGCAACATTTCATGACATAAATCGTCTAAAGTCTATACTTAAGATTGCCTGAAATTCACCATAACACCACAATCCACAAAAAGAAAAGCATATAACAAAACTCAAAAATATTCAATTACAACAGGCAAAGGCAACTGAACATGTGACAAGGCTTAAATACCTTTTAACGACTCTAATCCCCCCCGTTTAGTTGCGACAATAACGATAACCAAGGTACATAACGTACAATTTTCATCAGATATGAAAAGGCATGTAATTCTATAAAATAAGTATTATAAACACAGGAAAATATAAACTAATAGTAATCTTGTGAGTTGCCAAAAGTAAATGTGTACAAATAATTTTTTAGTCATTAACTATGTCATAAAATTAAGTCTACTCATAAACTATGTTATAAGATTATAATGTATTTTTTACACACTATACTGTAAGAATGTACTATGGATTTAGAACTCGTCTAACCATAGATATAAGAAGATGTGGTATGAGTGCAATGAGACAACTCTCTATCCAAGTCACAATTTGTAAAAAGTAAACCATTATAGGTTAAAGTATGGTCCTCAACACGGAGCCTTGGCTCACACCGAACAGCAAGTTATAAAGGACCCCAAAAATGACTAGTGTAAAACCATTCAAACAGGAAAACCAACGGTCTAATCAATATAAAAAAACGAGAAACGAGAAACACTCATGAACCACATCAAAAAACGACAACCACTGAACAACAGGTTCCTGACTTAGGACAGGTGCAATCAAATGCAGCGGGTTTAAACGTTTTAATAGGCGCCAACCTTCACCCTAACCTGAAACAGCAGAACAACATTACAACATAGAAAGACACATTATAAAATATCAATTGAAATGGCTTAACTCGATCAAAAAGAAATATTAGCAAAACAAGTAAACATACACTGAACGAATAAATTTGATCCATGACACAATATAAATACAATGTAAAACAATGTCAAAAAGACAACTATAACCTGGGACAAAATGAAGTTAAATAAAATAACGTACACAGGTAACTTTAAATAAAATAATTTGTTGTTAGCAGTACGAAAATATTTTTACAAAATAATTTTGTTGTTCATAGTACGAAAACAGAAGTGAAAATTTATCGTAATACTAAACACTTATCAAAGGTGGGACATATAAAAAAAGTGAGACGAGATATAACACAAAAAACAAGCAAACATTGAATAACAAAAATGAATTACAAATTGTGTCAACAGGTCAAATCAACACGCAAGTACGATTTGAGAGTACTAGCAGTTACTGAAAGCTAGTTAAAAGCCAAAAAACAATTAATAATAAAAAATCATGCATCAGAGACTAAAATCTATCAAAACACATCCCAGAAATTTAATGTTTTAAAAACCATGGACAGTCAAAGAAGACATGACTTGTGCAATGCCAAAATAAAATTATCGACAGGCAGAAGGATATTTAGTATCTAACTTTATCATAAATATGTAGAATGTTCTATATAGATAAAGCAATCTCTATATAGAAAATAAACGTGGATGTGTATTTGTACATCCCAAAAAACCATTCGAAAAGAATACAAATTTAGTTTTGTTTTTAATTTGTTGATGACAAAATCAATATTTGTGCCAATGTAAACAATATTCAAAGATCTTATAACAACATTAATAAGATCACCTTTACTAATAAGTTTGTAAAATGGTTCGATGAGTTTACACGTGACAGAAAGTGATTTCCGCGCTTTTAGTACAATATTACCGTAAAATTTAGGATGTGAAATACAGTTTTTAATACGTTTTCTACAGGAACAGCCAAATTTACTTACCAAATCTTTGTATCTATGAAAGAATTTAGTAAAAGTTTAAAGTAATTTATGGTACCAAAATCCCTGACTTAATAATTTACCAGTGATGCATTGATTACGTTCGTTAAAATTTATGAAATCACTACACACACGGACATAACGAACGAGTTGGGATATATAAACACCGTATGATGGAGCCAAAGAAACATCGCCGTCTAAAAAAGGAAAATTAACAATAAGGAATACAAATCGTCTCTTTTGTCGTAAATTTTAGTATGAAATGTCTAAATCTAGAAAAGGACAACTACTGCTGTTAATGTTAGATTTATTTAAGTAAGTTCCTTTGTGTAAATTTCGGTAGTATATTTAGAGAACTCTGGATTATGTAAGGCAAAAATATCTTCAAGATAACGGTAGGTATTGTTGAATGTGTCAACCAAATGCTTATTTTGTGAGATTTTAGAGAACACAAAATTTAGACTAACAAAAAAGGTATATACGCTACATAAAATAAAACAAATAAAAAGATGAAAAATCTCATAATTTAAGATGTTACATTCAAGATGTTACATTTAAGATAAATTTAATCGTTCCGTTGGTTGTTATTTCGACATTTAAGTGCACTGCTATATTGATCTTTGTGTCAATTATTATAACACATTGTACAGTAATTCCAGGTGTTTAAATCAGGTTCAGAACTAGTAAAAGAACATTTCAGACTTGTATAGGTCAATTGAGCTTTTTCAGCTCAAGTGGTATTAAAGCGTATTCCCTTGAAATTTTTAAAGGGAAATTTAAGTTTCTACATTAATACATTAATACATTAAGACAAGGTCAAATATATATATATATTGCAATTTTAATTACCTAAGTCAAAATATGCGTTTTATATTATCCTCCTTCGGCGTCCATTAATTTGTTATACCGGCAGATTGAGTTTGCTACTATAAGTTAGATAGTAATGATTGACATTTCTATTTATAAAAATATAGGTTCCGGCACTTAAATAATATGAATTTAGAGATTCTTTATTTCTGGTTTAAAATTGGTTAATTATATGTTATTCGGGATCTTTGCCGGGAATATAAATTCATATACTCTGTCATTGTTCTATATATCATCATGCGTCAGGCGAAATGAATATTGTTATATAACCTGCCAAGGTAGCCAATCAAAAAATGTATTAGCAAAATACTATACTGGAAGGTAAAAAGTGACAAAAAACATAAAAGCTGACAAGGCCAAACGGTCAACTATAACTATCAATGGAACGATTTGAAAACAACTGTCATGTCCCTGACCTGATACAGACACTTTCTAAAGAAAATGATGGGTTAAATCTGCTTAATAGCTAGTTAAACTTCCCGTTTGTATTTTAAGATGAGCCAAGATAATTCACTCTAGTTTAATATCAAGTTGTTTTTGTGTAACAGATTGTTACTGTATTATATTTATTTCCTCTCAATTAACCTTAACCGTCGAATCAAGAATAAATAACCATTAACAAAAATTCATAAAATAACTGGTTTTAAATACATGATTTAAGCTAAATGCACAAGTCAATCGTAAACACGAAATGCATTATTCAATTTTGACTTTTTGCACTTTTGTAGTTTGCAACATTTTGTGGTACTCTTTTACATTTCAAAGCACAAAATGTGTACTTTTCTACGTCACAGCCACCATTCCAATTTATTTGGTATCCATAACATCGTATATAGTCTAAGATTTTAAAAATTTTGTCTATTTAAATTCCGTCTAAATTCAGTGGACGAATTTGTATGTTAAAATATCACTCATTGATGGTCGGCAGGTGTTGACAATTTCCATAATCGCAACATCCTTTGTAAGTTAGGATTTTATCAGCAGACGGATACTGACTTGTCTACGGAACTGCAACTTAACTTCCACCTCCAATTAATTTGGTTCGAAGTTACAACTCTTATTTTTCAGATTCTCTTTTTATCAAAACTTGACCAAATGTTGTTCTTGAATATTCAAATCGTGTTTATACTGATGCAGAAATTAAACTGAATGGTATTAGTGACGTCAAAATGTAAAAACAATATTACCTAAATATATCAAATTTCAAACTGCAGTTGAAGCCCTCCCCCATCATGACACGAGATACAAAATTGTATGCTTTTAACTTTTGCATTGCCCATCTGCATTATATTGACAATGGTCATATATCACTATTGTTCAGAGCCTCTGATATTCAATAACTGTAGTCATTTACCTTGTCGTAGACCCACACCACGTAGAGGCGCACGAACGTTATAAACCATTGTAAAGGTGGGGAATTCCCCTTTGCATATCCATACCCGTGTTTTAATTTATTTTTCATTGTAAAGTTTAGTTACCGTTGGATTTGTAATATTATACTTTTCTGTCTCAGGATAGCAGAAAATAGAACAAACAAATGTTCGTGTTAATATATGTTCAATTTACTAGAAAATTTATATTCACTTTGCCCGTCTAAACATTGTTTATTTAAAGTCAGTTAAATCACATAAATATATCAACACAATTACTGTCAAAAATTATACTGAAATGGGGAACTGCATTATGTCATGTTTACGGTGTATGCGAAACTAACAAATATTGATAGACCATAATAAAACGATTTCAAGGTAACTGCTCTTTAATTTAACAAAGTTGTCATTGTTTTTTAATGTTTTGAATTCGTAAAATGAAATGGATAATGTTTGAAAATGATATCGTTACACCTGCTTATGGCATTTATTCAAATCAATTACGGTAAATTCCATACAAAAATTAAATGGTTTCTTACATTTTCTTATTTGAAAATTTATTTATTACGTCTGATTTGCATATTCCTTTTCAATTTAAGATGATTTTTTTTTCTAGTGTCTTTTTAGGTTTAAAATGAAGTAATGGATGTTTAAATGGTAATTCTTAATCAAAGAAATTGTATGACCATTTACATGATCTACAAATTAACAAGCTAGCAACAAACTTAATGAAATATTTCTTATTAGGAATAATGATGTCAATTTCTATAGTTTTCATTTTAAAAGTTCAAGGCTTTCTAGAGAGCAGAAAATCGTACCTCCTATTGCCATTTAAAGCTTTCCGTGTCAATAAACTATATACATATCT